TAAGCAACAAGTGGGAGGAGATCGGGACAACTCGACAAGAGATGGGGAACAACTGACACCAGGGGGACAAGGAACACACCATAAGCAACAAGTGGGAGGAGATCGGGACAACTCGACAAGAGATGGTGAACAACTGACACCAGGGGGACAAGGAACACACCATAAGCAACAAGTGGGAGGAGATCGGGACAACTCGACAAGAGATGGTGAACAACTGACACCAGGGGGACAAGGAACACACCATAAGCAACAAGTGGGAGGAGATCGGGACAACTCGACAAGAGATGGTGAACAACTGACACCAGGGGGACAAGAAACAGACCATAAGCAACAAGTGGGAGGAGATCGGGACAACTCGACAAGACATGGGGAACAACTGACACCAGGGGGACAAGGAACACACCATAAGCAACAAGTGGGAGGAGATCGGGACAACTCGACAAGACATGGGGAACAACTGACACCAGGGGGACAACTAATACCATCGGGACAAGGAACGCACCATAAGCAACAAGAGGGAGGAGATCGTAAGCGCTTGATGAGAGATCGGGAACGATTTTTAAGTGGCTCAGAGAGTGAACAACAGATAACACACTCTAAAGAACAAGCAGAAGACCCTGGAGAAGACTTTAGAACTAGAAGAATGTCGTTAAAAAGGACAGGCTTACGAAATTCTTTTGTAGTGAAACAAAAAGATTTCAGCAATTTTACTGGGGCACTACAACAACAGGAAGGCAAATCAACTCTATTGACAAAACCACCCAAGGAGGGTGAACCAAAACATTCAATAGTAACAAAAGCAAATGAGCAGCAACCTGTAAAGACACATGAAGAATGTCAGGCAGAAAATAAAGTATCAAAAGCTGTGAAGCACCTGACAGCTGACCATGATCAACTGACACCAGGGGGACAAGAAACACACCATAAGCAACAAGAGGGAGGAGATCGGGACAACTCGACAAGAGATGGTGAACAACTGACACCAGGGGGACAAGGAACACATCATAAGCAACAAGTGGGAGGAGATCGGGACAACTCGACAAGAGATGGTGAACAACTGACACCAGGGGGACAAGGAACACACCATAAGCAACAAGTGGGAGGAGATCGGGACAACTCGACAAAAGATGGTGAACAACTGACACCAGGAGGACAAGAAACACGCCATAAGCAACAAGCGGGAGGAGATCGGGACAACTCAACAAGAGATGGTGAACAACTGACACCAGGGGGACAAGGAACACACCGTAAGCAACAAGTGGGAGGAGATCGGGACAACTCGACAAGAGATGGTGAACAACTGACACCAGGGGGACAAGGAACACACCGTAAGCAACAAGTGGGAGGAGATCGGGACAACTCGACAAGAGATGGTGAACAACTGACACCAGGGGGACAAGAAACACACCATAAGCAACAAGTGGGAGGAGATCGGGACAACTCGACAAGACATGGGGAACAACTGACACCAGGGGGACAAGAAACAGACCATAAGCAACAAGTGGGAGGAGATCAGGACAACTCGACAAGAGATGGGGACCATCTGACACCATCAGAACAAGGAACGCACTATAAGCAACAAGGGGGAGGAGATCGTAAGCGCTTGATAAGAGATCGGGAACGAT